TGAGGAGAGATGAAGGGAGGTTTGGTACCCTTTAAACTCTTTCATTACAGTTGGAGAATGCGTGATGCATTGGAGAGTCTGGGGGTCTGTAGCTCACGGTGTCTAGAATGAAGCAAAGTGAGCTGAACTTGGTGGAAAACCCAGGAGGGTTCTGCACAGCCCAGGTGAGCAGGGAGGAGCACCTGCTCTCAGTACCTGGGTCAGGACAGGGAGGGTGCAGAGCAGGGGAGGTGGGCAGAGCATGAGGAGGTCAACATTCAGGTCTTGGGGATGAAGAGGGCCCCTAATATCTGGGGAGAATCAGCGTTGGGAGGACACTTCTAAGTAGAATCAGCCTCCTAGGGACATTTCTCTGTGACTCTGCTTTCTGGCTCCTCTGTTGAGACTCATGTTCTTTGAAAACAGGGATTTCTTTTTTTTCTTATGGATTATCTCTGCTCCCTCTAAGAAGCCCAGACCACAGCCCAGTACAAAGGAAAAACTCAGCAAAGGAACATTTACACAAGTGTTCTCTGTTGGAAACAAACTAGTTAACATTATGCGGAGTAATAAAATCAGAGATGATTTATCTTCCCCTTGAATGGGAATGTACACTTTTTTAGAAGAATTATTTTATTTAACTTTTATTTATTTATTTACTTATTTTAATTTGACCAGTGAGGGGATAGAGTGAAAGAGAGAGAGAGAGGAAGAGAGAGAGAGAGAGAGAGAGAGAGAGCAAGCTGCCAGGTCTAGGAACCGAACTGCTGTAGGCCATGTGGGAGTTCAGTACCCTTAACCACCAGGCCACCTGCGGGTCCCAGAATGTACACATTTTTAAGATTCTATTTCTCTGAAAGCACCAGAAAAGATGTGGATTTCAGACACCTTCTATTATTACTATCTAGTATGTCCTGAAAGGGAGCCCATAAACCCTTTTAAAATTGTCTCCTGCATCCGTCATGCCACAATCTTCTAACATAAGTCTTCAGCCCACCTTTCCTTCCTCATGACCTCTGAGGTCATCCCCCACCAGTCAGCAGCCCCTTGGCCTGATGGATGTAGTCAACCTGGATCCCTGGGCACAGGCCCTGCTAGGCTCCTCATCCTTTCTGAGTCTAATTCCTCACCCAGATCTCATGGTTCATCCCTGGAATTCTCCATCTTTATCTGGTTTGGGAACTGAAGTTCACCTTCCCTTGAACCCAATTATCCACTCAACTCCAAGCTGTTGGTCCTCGTTCCTTCTCCCTGTGGTTTCACCACACTGGTCTTCTCAGACCCACTGTCTTCTCAGACACTGACCACGGCCACCTCTGCCCCCGTGGAAGGAGCTGCTCAGGCCTGTGCCCCAGAGCCCCCTGTAGCCTCTTTATACTGTAAGGCTGTCATGTTTTCACTTTACTTCTAGAAATCCAGAACACTTCTTGGGAATAGACTCACTTATGTCATTACCATTGGGCACAGCACGGGTGACCCCTGAGTGGACTGACAGTGACGAGGCTCTGAGGACAATCTCCTGAGTTGCATGGAGATGCTGAAGTCTGCACAGTGAGCAGCAGGGGTCACTGTGGGTCTGTCTAGGGCAAGCACAGTGGGTGTGGCTCCGTTCAGCCAGATACCCCCTCCCTGCCATCAGTGGGGTCCTCAGAGCTGATCTCACACCCACTCCAAGGCAACTAGTTGTCAGAGTCCCTGCCCCACTGTCCCCAGGGCAGTGTCAGAGCATCTGAACCCTGAGAATCGGGGTCCCACGTGCATTGAGGCCACCGGGGAGCACAGCACAGAACTCATGTCCTCTGACACACAGAATGGGGACCCAGAGTCTCATAATATAATACCCCAAATGTCAAGGACACTATTTAAAAATCATTTACGTTGAAAACCAAGAAAACCACAACTCAACGAGGAAATGCAATCTTGGTACTCAATGAGAAAATGAGTTCGGTGTTCAAATTAAGCAGCAGAGATATGAAAGCAGCAATCGAAAAAGTCACCATCATGAGCAAATCCACATCTTCTTTTGCACATCTCAAAAAAAAATATGTCAGGGAACCAGCAGTTAGCATAATGGCTATGTCGCTGGACTCCCACATCGACGACTGCGGTTCACGTCCCGGACCCGGTGGCTTAAAACTCACGCCGGGCGCGTGTGCGTGCGTGCCCAAGATCCCGAGAGGAGAATGGAGGAGAAGGGATTGTGGCATGACCATCCCCCCTGGGGGGTGATTTCTCGCTTTCTGTCTCTCTTTCTCTCTCTGTCTGTCTGGCGAGTGCACACGCCCTATAGCAAAAACCTCTCAAAAAAATATATGTATGTCAGTCCAGCCTTGTAGACTAGTGGTTAAGAGAACCGAATCCCACACAGCCTACTGTTGTGTAAAACTGGGCCAAGTTCCATAGAGAAACACGCCAGCCAGGTGCATGTGCATTCCCCAAATCCAGAGAGGACAGGGAAATTTTCGAGAAGGCATTATGGCATGATATACCCTTTTGGGGGTTGCTTTCTTCTTCTACCCTTCCTTCCCTCCCTCTCTGTGTGTCTCAGGCAGGTCCATATGCCCTCTGTGGCCACCGCACATGCCTTCTGATAATTAGAATAAAAAATGATTATACTAATTGTGAAATATACTCTTCTTCCCTACAGTCATGGGGTCAAATGTGTCTCCTACAGAAGATATGCTAAGTCCTACTCCTTGTACCACAGAACACAGCCTCATTGTGATAAACACGGTCCTTGCAGTAGTATTGGTCAGGGTGAGACCACCTCACAGTTGAATGGCCTGCTGACCCACTATGACCGGTGACCTTGCTAGAGGTTGCCTGTGAGAAAACAGTGAGTGACACATGCAGGTACAATCATGTGAAGGAGTTAGAGATGGCTGTTACGCAGCTGCCAGGCAGGGATGTCCTGATATTGCCCAGAAACTACCAGGCACCAGGAGGAGGGGCAGAGACATTCCCCCAGAGCTTTCAGAGGGAGCATAGTCATGCCCTATGGACTCGGACACCGAGCCTCCAGAACCGTGACAGTGCATTTCAGTTGTTTAGGGCTCCTAAATTGTTACGCTTGGTTACTACTGTCCTAGGACAGGGACACACCAATCAACAGAATCACAGATGTGAATCTTGGCCCCTCATTTTTCCACAATTGGGATCATGTGTGTGTTTCTGTTACTACCCTTTATACTCTGCTGTTGTCATAGGAGTTTCATGGGAGGAATTTCCATGTCTTATTATACACAAATATTGGGGGAACCAGCAGTTAGTGTAATGGCTATGTCGCTGGACTCCCACGTAGTCGACCACGGTTCACATCCCAGACCCGGTGGCTTAAAACTCATGCAGGGCGCGTGTGTGTGCGTGCCCAAGATCTCGAGAGGAAAATGGAGGAGAAGGGATTGCTGCGTGACCATCCCTCCTGGGTGATGATTTCTCGCTTTCTGTCTCTATGTCTGTCTGTGTCTGGCGAGCGCATGCGCCCTATAGGGAAAATCTCTCTCAAAAAAAAAAAAATTGGGTCATCAGAAAAATTTTGACACTTTTTTTTTTTTTAACATAGAAAAGCATAGGAAAAAGATGTCATGACTTTTCTGACAGCCAAGTCTATAATGACTGCTTAATATTATTATGATTATGTAAGTACTAACACCATGTTTAAGTTTTAAGTAATAGCAGTTGTTCACTGCTCTTGGGTCATGACCCAAACCTCCCAGGGCCACCTCATTAGGGCTGGCCCCACCATCTTGTGTCCACGAGCCACCTAGGGATCCTGTAAATGTGAGTTCTGAATCAGTGTTTCTGCAGTGGACCCTGAGAAAACTCTTCCAAAATGACTAATCTTTTCAAATCGACATTCATGTTTTATTATCTTCATACCCATACCACTGACAAATGCAAAGGGAAGCTCTTTGCAGACAGAAACTAAAGAGAAATCTCTTACACACAGGATGAACGACTTTGGCCAAAGAAAGTCAGGGCCATCCTCAGCATCCTGATCCCCTCCCCTTTTGGAGCAGGAGGACAGCAGACAGGAGAGGAGGGCTGGGAGCAGGGAGAGAATCACTGTGCTTAAGAAACAAGAACAGAGGGACTAGCAGGTGGTGTGGTAGTTAAGGCAGCTGGATTCCCTCATGGCACACCGTGGCTCGAGTCCTACACCTGGTGGCTTGGAAATCATACAGGGTGCATGCATATGCATGCCCAAAATCCCAAGAAGAGAATGGAGGAGAAAGGATTGTGGCCAACCTCCTTGAGGGGTGATTTCTTATTTTCCTTCTTTCTGGGAGGAGAAAGGACTGTGGTGTGGCCAACCTCTTTGAGGGGTGATTTCTCATTTTCCTTCTTTCTATCTCTTTCCTCTCAAGCAGAGCACATTGCCCATGGCAAAAAAAAAAAAAAAGAAAGAAAGAAAGAAAGAAAGAAAGAAAGAAAGAAAGAAAGAAAGAAAGAAAGAAAGAAAGAAAGAAAGAAAGAAAGAAAGAAAGAAAGAAAGAAAGAAAGAAAGAAAGAAAGAAAAAGAACAGAAATGAAAGCAAACACACTGTGAGCCTCATCTGGGCCTGATGTCTTTGCCAACAGCCCAGGCTCACTAGTACCTTCCCCTCATGTCATGTCTCAAGTGAGGGCCACCCTCACCCACACCCTTCCCATCTCTGATTCCTGACTGCTCTGCTCTACCCTAAGGCAGGGAGTGGGTGGTAGTCAAGGCCAAGTACAGGCAGGAGTCCTGGGAGCCACCTGCCATCTGGTCACAGACAGGACAGACCTGGGTCTGGGCAGCAGGGGGTGCTGTGACCTGTGCTGAGAGGCCTGTGGGCTCTCACTTGGGAAACCAGACACCTGCCTTCTGATCTCTGCTCAACAGCTGGGTCCCCTCTGGGCCCCTGGGGAGCCTCAGGCTAGGCACAGTCCTTCCCCTCCCAGAAATCATACCAGTCAAGGGGGCAGTTTGCAGGCCCAGGGAGGGAATTGGCTAGAGAAGGGACAAGGAGAGAATTTGCATGAAAGGTATCAACCCCCTGCTCTGAGTTAGAGAGAGGATAAGACAGACGTAAAGCGTGTCTGCCTCAGTGCAGCTCCAGGGCGTCTGCACCATGGCCTGGACCCCACTCTCCCTCCTTGGCCTCCTCCTCCTCTGCACAGGTCAGGACCATCCTGAGTATCCTGGTCCCAGCTCCTGAAACCCCCTCCAGCCTCAGGAGAAATGACCTTTCCCCATCCTTCCCCAGGCCATAATGGGTGTCTGTGTTCCAGGGTCCCTCTCCCAGCCCGTGCTGACTCAGTCGCCGTCTACGTCTGCCTCCCCGGGAGCCTCGGCCAAGCTCACCTGCACTCTGAGCAGTGGGCACAGCACCTACTACATTGAGTGGTACCAGCAGCAGCCAGGGAAGGCCCCTCGGTATGTGATGTATGTTAACAGTGATGGAAGCCACAGCAAGGGGGACGGGATCCCTGATCGCTTCTCAGGCTCCAGCTCTGGGGCCGACCGCTACTTGACCATCTCCAATCTCCAGCCTGAGGACGAGGCTGACTACATCTGTGGCGTACCTGATGGTAGTAATTATAGCACAGTGATCCAGATGAAGAGGGAAGTGAGACAAAAACTGTATTTACTGTTCCAGTCCCATGACTGACACACGGCGCCCAAGGAGTATTTGGTGTTCTGAATATTCTTTTGTTGTTATAATGTTACAGTCAAGCAGGACAGTCTGTGGTGACTCAGAGCCTCTCAGGGTCCCCCGACCTGAGTGAGCCAGGACTGCAGTCTGCCTCTCCCGAGGGCGTCAGTCCATCCAGGAGGTTGTACCAACACCGTGGGCTGGGGCTATGAACACATCCTTCATTCCTCGCAGGGCTGGGGTGGGGAAGGCTGGCATGAGGACCAGGTGTACTTGGGAGCACATTTATCACCTCCTGTCTCATACCTTCACCATCTTCTCCAGGTGTCAAGGAGCCATTCATTCTTGCCTTTATGGACTTTCTTCATGGGAAACTATTTTCAATCATTTTAAGAATCCTACTGCCTCCAGTCCCAAAGTGGCCAAAGAACCCACAAGCACCTATAGAAGGCAGAATTACCTCTGCCGTGTAACGTATGGCCAGATATTCCAGAACTCCTATCCAGGGTCATCCAAGGTCATCAGCGTCATCAGGGACCCAGTCCCCAGCGTCATCAGTAAGGTCCTAAACTCTGGAGGGAGTGAGGCTGTGGATCCAGCAGGGGGCGCTGTGGGGCTGACCTAAGGAGCAGTTTCTAGGCTCTCCAAGCTCAGAATAGCTTTAGAGGCTCTATGACCTTGTACAAGTGGGTTTACACCGGGAGGAATTTTGAACTAATCTTTAATTAAACATATTAAAAAATCAAATTAACCAGCTGTACCCTCCCGGCTCCAGCCCTGCTTCTTAGTGTCAATCACTGAGTGGGAGATTTGGGAAGAAAGGAGTAGGAGCACCCATGTGGGGAAGGAGCCTGCAGGGGAGTGGCTGAGGGCGGTGGGAGATGGGGCCAGAGTAGCCTGCTCTGGAGGAGTAGGGTGTAGTCTGAAATCTGGGGAGTGAGGGCAGTGTACCATGCAGAGGAGCAGGGTCAGCGTGTGCTTATAAGAGCAGAATCTAAGGAAGATTACTTAATTTATCCTGAATTCCCTCCATAGGCTCAATTTCTAAATATACACACATTGGGGTCTGATTAAAAATATATGATGGAGGTGGATTGATTCCATCCATAGCAAGAGGCCAGAGAAGATCAGGGACTCAGATCCCTGCTGTGTCTGACCTGGGAGAACTGACTATATGGTGTCACCCTTCCACACCATTTCCAGAGCACCTACCATGTGCCAGGCATTGGTTGTGGTCTTGGTGAGGTAGGAGTCAGCTCTCTGGTTATGTAGATAGGGAGGGAGTCCATGAACCAGAAAGGCAGAAACGAGATGGAGTCATGGTAGTTGAGCCACTAATAAAAATCTTTAATCCTCTCTTTAGAGATCAATTATTAGCTCTCACCACTTTCTCACACAGAGCACTGCTTACTGCCAGAGTTGGTTTTGACCTACTTGAGAAGCCAACATGGCCTGTTGGTCTCATGTCCTTATCAATATGATATTTCAAGGAGGAACTATGAGTGTCTGTCTTTTGATAAAAGCCAGAAGAAGACAAGAGCCATGTATATGAGAACAAAGAGCAAGCCTCCCTGGTTCATTTGTAAGATAGAATATTAACTACCTAGATCCCTGGTAGTGGGGAGTAGAGGCTGTTGACATCATTGATTACCCAAGTTAAGAAAAATCTTGTACTTCCTTATCAGAAAACCAGCCCATTGCTCAGACTGCAAGATAAAAACCTGTGACCACCAGCTCCTCTTTCACAACCCATCTGAGACCCACTCCCTGCTTGAGAGCTCTGTTCTTCCTTCCCTCTCTTAATGCACTCCATGTTGCTATGTCCTCTCTTTGTCCATGTCTAATAATTCTTTGTGGGCATTGGAAGAGAACCAGCATAGGTGTTGGGTCTGATCACCCAGCTCTCTCTCGTGTTAATGGGGTTCAGGGTATACTGTAGGCCAGATGGAAGGGTCCCTGTCCTAGGGAGTCGTCAATAACTATGTAAAGAGAAAGAATATGGGTACAAATGCCAACAGGAAGTAAATGTGTTCTAGGGAAGTTAAGGAAGATGAACTAGGTGATGCTGCCTCATCTTCCTCTTCTGAGTCCTGGAAGCTGGGATCAGAGTTAGCCTGACACTGATCAGTTGTGACGCAGTCCCTTTAGGACACAAAGCTAACTTTGATGAGCCCTTATGGATTCTACTGGTGTCCCCATCTTGGTCTTTCCCCCTCAGTTTTGTATCTGGGCTGTTCTATTACTACCCAGTCACAGGGTAGAGCCATTTCCTTTTCCCATAATGCACTCCTGCTAGTTTCTCACCCCTTCCACAGCTGTGTTAGCACTTAAAGGCTCATGGCCCAAATATCCACCTTTAGCTCACTCTCCTTTAAAGAGCAGGAATCATTACAGTGCAACAGAGTCACCAAAGTACATTTGGAGTACCTCTTGGGAATCCTGCAGAGTATAAGCTCTTCTGGTGTTAGAGAATTCACTCCTCAGATATGACAGTCAATTCCTAGGCAGGTGTATTTTGTTAGGTATATTAGGATGTTACCTGGAAAAGATACAGAGAATAACAATAACGATAATGATAATAAAGGTGAACAAATGATTCTATAAAATATGCGAAGTGCACCTGTCAAACCTCTCATTCCACTGTTGTGTTCTTAGGGCCACAGTAAAATAGCAAAGCTCGGGCAGGGTGGCTTTGTTGTTGTTTCTTGTTTCTTTGTAGTTCTGATACACGTGTGTGTGCGCGCAGAGAGAGAGAAGAGAGAAAGAAAGTGAGAATGCACCCCCCAGGGGGAATGGGAATGCCACAATTCCTTCTCCTTCGTCCTCCTCTTGGGATTTTGAACATGCATGCACATGTCCCTAGCATGTTTCTCAACCAACAGAGTCTGGTATTTGAACCATGCAGTTGACTGTGTGGGATCCACCCACCTTAAACACTAGGTCATTGACTGGCCTAGGTAGTATGTCTGAAAGGCAGCCCAGAAATACTTTCTGAATTTTCTCCAGCATTCTTCATGCCACAACCTTCTAACATGGATTTCGGCCCACCTTCCCTTCCCCATGACCTCTTGGGTCATCCTCCACCAGTTAGCGGTCCCTTGGCCTGACAGAGGCTGTCAACCTGCATCCCTGTGGTGCAAGGCCTGCCAGAATCCTCATTGTTTCTGAGTCTAATCCTTCACCCAGATCTCATTGTTTATTTCTCCATCTTTATTTACTTAATTAACTGAGATTTATCTTCCCTTGAACCCAGCAATTACCTCCTTAGCTGTGAGCTGTTGTTTCTGAGTCCTCCTTGCTATGATCTCACCACCCTCATTTCCTCTCAGATCCTTGGCTGTAGGGTGGCCCCTCAGATCTCTGCCTAGTGGTGACAGAGAGGCAGGGAGACCTCTGTAGGTCTCATCTCTTGGGTGTCCTCATCAGGGTCAGTTCCAGGACAGGTCGAGGCTGTGCGGTTCCTCATTTCACACCCCTGTGGGGCAGAGCAGCCAATGGCAGGGACGTGCTCAGTAAGGATTTGCTAAGGGCGGACGTGCCTGTCACATTGCCCTGGGCCAAGGACGGGGTGAACTGAGGAAAAGTGAGCTGCTTGTTTCTTTACACTCAGTCTGAGAGCTGAAGGGGGCCCACACAGAGAGAATAAACATAGATCTGAGGTAATGACAGACCCCTAGGCTGGCACTGAGGGCACTTGGTGGACAGAGAAATGGGAGGTGAGGCTGTCTCTGAAAGGATCTATTCAAGAGGATGCTGTTTCTGGATATGGACACCAGGGGGCACTCAGAGCCCACTCCTGGGGGGATCTCATAATTAGGGCAGAAAGCAACCACCTGTCCTTGCCTGCTGACCTTTTGGAGTTCTGTTGTGACCCTCACACCCCTGGGACCATATAGTCTTACCCCACCCACACTCTGACATCTTTAGGACTGACCTAGGGCCAGGTGGGACCAGCAAGCTCTGGGTGGGGGTTCATTTGCATGAACTTCCCCACCCCCTGTCACAGCATGAAAAGGGGAAAGGACAGATTGAGGGGAGCCCTGTTTCAGCTGTGGGCCCAGAAGGCAGGATTCTGGGATCTCCTCCATCATGGCCTGGTCCCCTCTCCTGTTCACCCTCTTGCTCACTGCATAGGTGACTAGATATGGGGCCAGGGGATGGGTCTGGGGAGACCATGGGCTCTGGGTTCTCTTCTTGTCTCTAGACCCAGAATCACCCTCTCTGTGTCTCTCCCACCTCCAGGGTCCTGGGCCCAGGTCTGTGCTGACTCAGCCGCGCTCAGTGTCTGGGGCCCTGGGACAGAGGGTCACCATCTCCTGCAAGGGAAGCAGCGACAACATTGGGAGAGGCTATAATCTGCAGTGGTACCAATAGCTCCCAGAGGCAGCCCCCAGACTCCTCATCTATGGTAGCAGCCATCGACCCTCAGGGGTCCCTGATCACTTCTCTGGCTCCAAGTCTGGAACCTTGGCCTCCCTGACCATCTCAGGGCTCCAGGCTGAGAATAAGGCTGACTATTACTGTCAGTCCTGGGACAGCCAGGAGGGAAGTGAGACAAAAACCTGCTGTCGAATTTTCTATTGTAAGGTATTGTAAGGTGTGTTCTTTTTTTTCTTTTTTTTTCTTTTTAAATTAGCTCTTAATTTTAAACATCTATTTTCTTTTTTTTTTTTTTTTTAAATTAGCTCTGTTAATTTTAGACATCTATTTTCGATAACATTTTGAAGCATGACTTGTGTTTTGAACATAGTAAGCCTATCATAGTTAACATAAAACAAAAACAAAAATTCCCCTGCTGTCAGCTCCTACCTGTGCCCAATGGAGATGCTTCCTCTGCTTGGCCTAAAGCTGGGATCTGAGTTCTCCTCAGTGACATGTGCCTAGGGGAATTGTTTACACTCTCTCAACTACGCCCCCAGTCGAGTCGTTCTCATTAGCACCATGTGAAAACTTCTCGAATGCCACTGATCTGTCTGGATGACAGGGTGGGTTGCTCTAGAGACAGCCCTGGCTGTGTGTCCTCACTACTAGAAATCTCTTTCCTCATCCTTATGGAGTCTGGAGGACTAGGTCGCTTTCCCTCTCTCTCTTATTTGCCTCCCTCTGGTGAGAATATACACCCTGTAGAAAAAACAAAAACCAAAACCTAAAATGAAAA